TGTTGTGGTGGGCGCCTGTGGTCCCAGCTACTTGGGAGGCGGAGGCAGGAGACTCGCTTGAGCCCAGGAGTTGGAGGTTGCTGTGAGCTGTGATGCCATGGCACTCTACCCAGGGGGACAGCTTGAGGCTCTGTCTCAAAATAAATAAATAAATAAATAAATAAATGAGGCCCGATGAAGCCCATTTGCCCTTCTGTCACGTGAAGACATATAAAAAGTGCCATGTATGAGGAACAAGCCTTCATCAAATCCGCTAGTATCTTGACCTTGGACTTCCCAGTCTCCAGAACAGTGAGCCATAAATTTCTGCTATTTATAAATATACCCAGTATAAGGTATTTTGTTGTAGCAGCTCAGATGAATGATTTTGACATTTGGTCATGTGATAGTTTTGACATTTTGTGTCCTTGTAGGAACTCATGGGGCTACTGCAGTTTAAGAAAGGATTCTTACTGTGGCTTATGCAATCTTTATTCATATATTCATTCTTTTAATAATGCTGGATGGTGGAAGGGAATTAGAGATGGTCATATGATGGTTTCTGACCATTTGCTCCTTAATTCATTCATTCTCCAAATATCTACTAAGCACTTGCTCATACCTGCTGGCCCCCCCAGGATGAAGATATAGAAGCTCTGACCATGAAGCAAGGAGACCTTTCTTTATACAATGGTGAGGGCTTATCCTATATTGGAGGTAGAGAGTGTCTTCAGAGTGGACCCTCAGAAAGCTGGAGTCACATTCCAAGGAGGCAGCTGGTACCCAGAACGTCTTTGGGGACTCCTATTTTAGAATCATCTTCAGATCCAATTTATAAGCCAGGGAGAAGATCTGTTTCAATTCATATTCCTTCTCTCCCTCTCACACATTTTTCAGCAAGAAATGGTAATCTACTCCCACTCCAACATACACACACGTCACCAGAAATGTCACCTGACTATTAAAATCAATTCATCTTGAAGATGCTTAAAAAGCACAGGCTTTGGTAATGGACACACCTGAGTTTGAATCCTGAATCCACCTGGCCTGTTTGTGTAATCACAGTCAAATGACTTAACCTTTTCAAATATCAATTTATTACCTTCATAATAAATACAATAGTAAACCTTTTAGACTCTCTATAAGGATTAGAGATAATGTACTTACAAGGTCTAATGCAGCACCCTGTACAAAGACAAAGCTCAATAAATGGTTTTTGTGGTTTCTAACTCCCTAGTGAGAGACCTGAAGAATGTGGCAGGCATGCTCTAGTGTTCAGGAACTACATGCACTGGATGGATCATGCCAGTGTGTTTGCTGGCACAGTACAGAAAGGCAGGGTCCTTGTCCACAGAACTCTGAGATCTTCTCATAGGGGAAGACATAGGCCCCCTAGGGGAAGACAGGACTCCAATCAGTACCAGTCCCTGGAGGCAGCAGGCAGAGCTGCAGATCTCAAGCTTGCCATAAGATCTAGACTCAAAGTTTAGGCATCCCCAAACCACCGAGGGCAGAGACTCAGCACCCCCCCCCCAAACACCCCAGCTTTACTGTGTTTAACAAAGGATGAACAATGCATGCAGCTGCTGGGAGAAGGGCATGGCTGTTTGCCACATGGCCTTCCTCTTCCTCTGCCCTGGAGCTGGCCCAGTCTCTTTGCCAAGCACAGAACTAATATGTACTCATTTTACCTTCTCAACAACCTCTGACAGGTAGTATCTTCTCATGTGCTCACGAAACCAGCTCAACTTTGAAAGCCCAATATCTATTGCCCCATTAGATAGATGAAGATACCAAGTCTTGCCAAGATAATATCCAGGTCACTGGTTTTAGTCTCCATGCTGGGATTCAAACCTGGAAACAAGACTCCTATCTCCAGCCCACTATGCTGAGCTATCTGCAACACATCAGGAAAACCTGCGGAGGAATTGCCTTCTCCACACCCACTCTAGCCTCATAGCCAAAGGAAATAATTTCTCTACAAGTATCAATTCTCCAAGAATTACATGTTTTAAGCCCTCAAGTCCTAGAGAGGAGACAGAAACAAAAGAAAGAACTCAAAGAATTACAAGAGGTTAACAAATACCTTGACTGAGGAAGTCTAGAGGAACAGCATGGGGTGGCAGAGAGAGCACATCCTTTGTATAGTACTCTGCCATGTGACCTTGGGCAAGTCATTTAACATACTCACCTTAGAAAGCCATGGAGTTGCTGTGAGAATTCAACAAAGTGGAAAAGCACGTGGAGCCGCCTATAGGGTGCCTGGCATATGGGATTGATTAAAACCGTCCTATGGAGTGTGTTAGGGCTGAAAGGAGCTTGCCAGATATCCTAATCCTGGGGTCTCATTTCTCAGACAGAGAAAACAGGGCCCAGAGAGAGGAACTGACTTGCCCACAGTCACACAGCAAAATCAGGCTGATGTTGGTTCTAGCACCCTCAGTTCATGTTGACATCAAAGACCAAAACCTAACAATAGATCTGATCTTCTAAGCTGTGTAAGGGGAGAGAAGCTTCTTCAGGGGTTCCTCCGGCCCACAAAGTCCCAAACTTAAGCCTGCTTTCTACACTTAATGAGCAAAAATATGATATTTCTTCCCAGAATATACACACACACATATATATGTAAATTTAAAAAATACCAACATTAAACTAAACTCTCAGACCTTAACAAAAAGTCACCCTTTTAAGCCTTATTTTTTCCCACCTTCTTTTCTCACTGCCCCCCCCAAATATTTTGCAATAACACTAATGCTGCAAAGAAAGAAAAAATAAAAATCTGATGCACTTAACAGATATTTCGGTACAATAATGCATCACAGATGTTCATATCAAACTGTGCACGCGTGCATGCAATTTTACTGAGAAGACTATTGCATTTCTGACTTTGAGTTTGGGGGTCCATAACAACCCCATCTGCCCAGGCTCCAGAAGCTACCCTTCCCAGTTAGGGCAAGGCTGCCCAAGGGGATGGAGGAGAGATTTCATCACTTCACTCCAAAAACGATAAAGGGACAAATTGGCATGGTCAGACACTCTGGCAGGTGGTGATGGGTGTGTAGATTAGGAAGCTAAGAGGAGTCCTATTTTCTTTTGTTCTGGACTTGCTATCTGGAGCCCTTTCCAGGAGCTGGACCCAAGAACAGTTTTAAGAGTGGGCCCAAGCTGGCGACAGGGTGGGTGCATTTTTGAAACAGAAATCAGAGTCTGTTTGATCTCCAAACGTGGGCTTCAGGACTGTCAGCAGCCTCCTTGCTGGCCGATGAATGGCTCTCAAGAACTTTTCCTAAAACATACCTCACACACTTTCCAGCAAATGTTTTCAGCCTACCAAAGTCGTCATTTGGTTGAACAGCAGTATTTCCAGACCCTGAAGAAAGATAGTTTTGTTGTTTTAAGGGAGACAGATTAAAGCCAGGGGCTGTTTAACCAGAGAGTGTGTGTGCTCTCCTCAGCCCTTGTCGGGATTCCTCTGTGGTTGGTACAAAGAGGGTGTTGAGAGTTATAGTGGATTCCCCATCTCCCCAACCTAAAAAAGATATCGAGGCCAGACACAGGCCTCTGAACAGAGAGGCCTCCCACAAACCTGCCTCCAAAATGAGATGGGTGGTGAGCACAGGGGCGCCCGACACAGATAATATCAGCTCCCGAAGTTGGCAAGGGAAAAGTCACTTCAGACGGAGAAAGCCGCTATGTTCAGAGGAATCAGCACTGGGCCAGAGAATACACAGGATTTTCCCCCGTGGAGAAGGAGTCAGGCGTAGTCAGAACCCTGCGGGGCGTGACTAACTGCCCCAATATTCCTGCCACTGGGGCCCTCTGGGTAAGGACTCCACAATTATGGGAGAGCCAGCAGGAGAACCGACAAACCCGCCTTTCATTTGGCCGGCAAATCAATCTGGCTTCTTACCTCCCCAGGGACGATATTGCATTTCCCCTGGAAAAACAAAGGCCAGAGATCTCGGAAGGGGGATCAGTTTCTGCTGCTGTTTCCCTGGTGAAGAGCTTGCAACATCCCAGGAACAGCAAGCAGGTCTGATTCCAGGGGTAGGGTTTCTTCCGGCCCAGCCCTTTTATGGGGCTGTCCCCCCTAATCAGAAGTGCATCTCTGGGCAATGCCTCACTCAGGGTATCAGCTCAAGTCCCATCTTGGGGTCTCCTGGCAAGAGTTCCCATCCCAGGACTGACAGCCTGGTTCTCAAGGCACACATGTGGACTCATTGTTCCCATGGCCTCACAGTTAGGTTTGGGGCCAGTGAGTAGCGAGTGACCTCTGCCCATGCTTTTAATGACATTTTGCTACAGCAGATCTCTGACAGCTAGAGACTTTAAACCTCTTGAGTCCCTCCTTTCTCCTGGCCTCAACTCCCAAGGTTCAGAAATCAGAACTGTCAACCTTTAAACAAACACACTTCTCTGGAATTATTAACCCCACAACTCTCCTGGCTGACTTTCAGCCTTAGGGAGGCAGTCTGGGGGCAGGGGCGCACAAAGCTTTGCACAGACCCAGGGAATCCGGGGGTGCTTAACTTCAAACAGCAAACCAGTGCTCCGTGGAAGCCAAGCAAGCCACCTGCCTGCCCAGCCCCAGGAGCCAGGCCTGCCCCTTGCTCCCTCCACACATGCACACTGCCACAGCACTGTCCACACACCAGCTCCAAGACAGCCTCCAGGGCCTCAGGAAGGCCTGATGCAAACCAGTGGCCCCCTCTTTTTGTTTTTGATCACTCTGATGCTCCGACGGAAATTCTTTCTGCTCAGGCAAGCACAGCAGGTGGGGAGTGTATATCCCGGACACATAACGTGGCTGAAATGAAAGCAAACACCCAAACTCCTTCCCCAAAAGCTAACGTACACTGGTTTTCCCACCAAAGCAGCCAGAACACTGTCCCACAGCTTGAAAGAACCTCTCCTTCTGGGGCAAAGATCTGGTTCTGGCTGCCTGCTAGAGCAGGAAAAACAGAGATGAGAATCAAGGTGCCCGGGGCCTGGTGCTCCAGGCCAGGGCACTGCGTGCCTACCTGGGAGAAGTTGAGGCCGTTGAGCGGGTGGCACTGCTCCTCCACGCGCTCCACAGCCCCGGTGCTTTTCCTCATCTTCTCAGCCTGCTGGGCCAGGTAGAGGTCCAGCACGGGCACGCCACGGGAGCGCACATCTGTCTCTGTGAGGGAGTTCACCATGAGCATCACCCACACCGGCCTCTTGCGCTCCCAGTTGCCCGCAATGGCATTGAACAGGTAGTCAGCATAGAGCCCCTTGCCCCGCTGGGCAGGTGTCATCCACGAGGGCATCATCAGCTTCACGTAGTCCAGGTGGCGCTTCAGGCGCCAGTAGAGCTCGCGGGGCAGCACGTCCTGTAGGTTTTCTCCATGCGGCAGCAGCTGGCAGCTGGCCAGCGCAGAGATGGTGTAGGGGTCTGTCAGGTCTAACTCGAAGTAGACGCGGGCACTGGCCTGGAAAGCTGCCTTGGAGTTGTCTGGGATGAAGTCCCAGACGCGGGTATAGGGAACATGGATAGTGCCAAACAGGTAGGCTGGGGGGTCACGCCGAATAGTCCACAGGAAGGAGTTCAAGTCCCTCTGCTGCAGGAAGAGAGGAGAGGGAAGGCAGTGAGGCTAAAGGCAGCAGGGGAGAGCCACAGCTGGCACAGAGGACTTACAGGGGGAGGTAAGCAAGAGAGGCAGAGACCTGCACATGTGGGAGCTTGGATACCCACATTTGAATCCTGGCTTTGCCCTGTCTTAAATGTACGATCTGGAGTGACTGACTTCACATCTCACAGACTCAGTTTCCTTATCTGTAAATGAGGATGGAAGGGTTTGGGGGAGGGTTAAAAGACACGATACACGTATATCGCCCTCAGAACAGTGCCGGGCACTGAGGAAGTCTGCAATGAAGAGAAGCTCTCATTATGATTAGCTTTTGCTGCGAGTGCCAAGGACTGCCACACCACCTGAGAATATTCATTCTTGGCCAAGCCAAACCTTCACCGGTGGTGTTTCATGTGGAGGGTGGGGAAAGGGGGACCAAGAGCCCTGCTCTGGCAAGAAGGGAGGAAGTCATATAACTTTTAAATCCAACCATTAGAAGATACATGCCAAGAGCACTTTGAAAGCAGAACACCTATTAAAAATAGCACAGCCATTTAAACAGCTACTTCCCATTCATCAAGGTGGATACGGTTTTCTTTTTGGAAAGCAGGTCTGAGATGTCAACTACTTTGCTCTGCCAGCTGAGACCACAGATGAGAAAGTGCTTTAAAGCCTTGCAAGGCCAGGTCAAGTCTCAGTATCTGGTCTGAGAGGAGAGGATTCTATTACAATAGTCCCAAGAAACATAGATATTCTGGGTGCTTTCCAGGCTCCTCACCTAAAAGTGCGTACTTGTCTCCAGCCCCAGTTCTCTCGTCATTTTCTATGACCCAAGCTCCAACCACATGAATATGTGCATGTGTGCGTGGGGATGCCGTAAAGGAGGGGCATATACACAGGGTCATTTTTCCATAGCCAGACTAGGGCTGGGAGTAAGGGGATTGAGAAGGGAACTATCAGTTCCCTTAGGCAAAGCCATTCTCCATCCAGAAAACTCCCTGGAGTGCCCCTCACCACTTGCAAGCTTTAGATCAACTCCTAACATTTTTCTATCTGATTCTGGCACAAATGAAAAGTATATGTTGGCATGGGTGGGCAGCTATAGGGGAATAGTACCTTACTTTACTAATAACCCCAAACTGTAAATCCTAGCATAATGGAGACAGAGTGTCCAGCCAGCCAATGAGCTCCCTGTTTCTACACAAGGCAGGCCCTGGAGGTGCACCTTGCCCAAGGTCATCTAATTCCCTGCTAACCCGGAGCACACTTAGGACAGCAGGACCCTATAACACTGTTTCCTGGTCTCCTGGCCTCCAAATCAGGGCCATCATCCACGCATTAATATTCACTCAGAGAGAAGGATACTTAAGGAAATCAAGGGATTCTTAGCTCTGGAAAGAAAATTAGAATCAGTAATTAATTACTGGACGCCCCAAGAAAGTAGTAGCTCAGCATATTCTGGCATTGCCTCTTCCACCTTGAATTACTGTCCCTTCTCACGAAGTAGGGGCACTTGGGAGAATAGGTGCTGGGGCCTGGGCTGCAGAGGGAGAGAGAAGCGGGCACCAGCACCAGGAGAAAGTTTGCCTCAGGGCAGAGGAGAAGGGCAGGAAGAGAGAAGGGAAACTGGGAGGGGCCAGAGGTGCGAACCCAGAGGAAGAGGGCCAGATGGAAGTTATAGAAGAGAAGGGCAAAGAACGTAGGAGTGGACAGAGCGACCAGAAGGGTAAAGATGGGGGTACAAATGAGAAAGAAGAGTGTCAAGAAGAGGCACAGAGCGAGGAAACCTCTAAGCAGGACCAAAAGTCAAGAGGACAGCCCCAGAGCGGCAGCGTGGAGAAGGGGCAGGAGAGAGGGAGTGCCCCACCTCGCTGCAGGAGCCGGGCAGTCAGAAGCCAGGGAAGGGCGCCCGAGGCTGAGCCCAGCGGGCGTAAGCAGAGCGGGTGGGCTGAACTGGGTGCAGAAGGCAGGACCCAACCATCGTGCCCATGGGCTGGAGTGCCCAAGCGGGCGGGAGAGTGGCAGGGCAGACGCTCGCTCACCGATCCGGGCGGCCGGCACTGTCCTCCGTCCAGGGGCTGCGGGCGGGCGCGGGCGGTGGCGAGGAGGGCGGCGAGTAGCGGCCCCGCCAGGGCGGCGTTCATCCTGCCGGGGCCCGCGGGGCGCGGGGGAGTCTCCTGGGCGGCGCCCCCTCGGCGGGGCTGGCAGCCACCAGCTGGGCACCGAGTTTCCTCTGGAGCGCAGGGCTCCAGCCGCGGGATGCTGGAAGCCCTCTGGGGCGTGGCTGAATGTCCCTGCCGGACCTGGGGGTTTCTCTGGGGCGGGGCTCCGTCTGTTAGAAGAGGGGGACCCTCTGGGGCGGGGCGCCTCACCAGGGCGCTCAGCCCGGTTGGCCAAGCCCGGGACTTCTGGGACCGTGCAGGGGTCCTGGGGTGCGCGAAGGTCCCGGGGTTGCGTTGGGGTCCAGGGGCGTGCGAGGTTCCTGGGGCAGAACCGAGATCGCGGGGTACGCTGGGGTCTCGGAATTATGCTGGGCACCCGGGGCGCGCAAGAGTCCCAGGGGTGCGCGGCGCTCCAGGGGGCGCGCAGTGGGACAAGTGCGGCGGAGGGCGCGGCAGGGGTGGGGGTCGGGTCTGGGGCGCCCAGCTGCCCCCGAGTCCGGCTCAGATGGGTGGCGGGCGGCCGCGCGGCCGCTGCCCGGGCTCCGCCATGCTGCTCCGCGGCCGGGAAGGAGGGAGAGAAGAGGGCGGGAGAGCGGCGCGGAGCCGGGCCGGGCGGGGGGCTGGGGCCGCCGGGGCGGGGGGAGGGGAGGACCCGGCGCGGGGGGCGGGGGGCCGGGTCCGCGCCGGGCCGCGCCGGGCCGGGCCGGGCCGCTGGGAGTCGGGGCGAGCTCCGCGCTGGGGCGCGGCGAGGCGGGGTCTGATGGGCATGGCAGGCGCTCGCTCTCTCTTCTCTTGCTCCCTCGCTTGCTCCCTACACACGCGCGGAGGGAGGCGAAGCCCGCAGCAGCCACTTCCCAACTTTCCAAACTTCCCAGCGCAACTTTTTCCTCTCCTCCCCTGCCCGCGCCTCCTCCTCCCCCATCCCTCCTCCTCCTCGCTCCAGCTGCGACTGGGCCGTAGCTTCCGCGTGCGGCCGCCAGAGGGCGCCCGGGCTGAGGTCCTGCTTGGCCAACCTCCGCTGGCTCAGCTCTGGACGTGAGCTGGGTGGGCAGCGACAAACCTGGGGATATGCCCCAGCCTCGCCCAAAGCATCTGTCCCCGGATCCTGGCGGGAGTGAGCAGCTAAAGCGGCAGGAGTTGGGCACGTCCTTCTAGACTGGCAGGGAAGGCAACAGTCACGCCAAATTCAGGGAAGCTGATATTTATAATCGTGTACCTGCCACGGTACACTTAGTAGGTGCTCTGCAAACACCAGCTGGATTTTTCTTAAAAAATGAAGTTAAACAAACAAACAAAACTCATCCTCAGAATACTGTGGAATCTTGCATTTAAGCTATCTCACGTAGAATCCATGTGCCTGGCTCTGGAAGAGTAGGGATTAACATCCCAGTTTCTTAGACCATAGAGATTGAAGATCTCTTAAACCTACCTCCTGTTCATGAGAGGCAAGTGAGGCTTAGAGAAGGTCAAGGGCAAGATCTAAGTTTCTGAACCATTTCCAGTAAACAAGGAAACTGAGTCATGGACAGTGCCATTCTGTTCTTGCTTGGTTCTGTTAAAGAGGGATTTCCTGACTCTTCCTTTACTGGAAACAGAGAGGAAAGATGAATTAGATGATATTTTCAGGAGCCCACAGTCTAGAGAGGGATACAGAGACAGATGATGGAATAGACGATCCTAGAGGCTGGGCAGAGAAGGGAGGAATAGGGAGAGATTTGTTAAAGTATAAAAAGTACAACTAGGTGGCAGGAACAAATTCTAGCGTACTTTGCCACTGTAGGATGACTATAGTAAACAAGAATGTAGCATCTAGCTTCAAATAGCTAGAAGGAGAATACTGAATATATCCAATTCAAAGAAATGATAAATGTTTGAGATGATGGATATGCTGATTATCCTGATCTGATCACTGTACATTACATGTATCAAAATATCACTATATGGACCATGACTATGTACAATTATTATTTGTCAATTAAAAATAAAATAAATAAAATGCAAATGATGAATGCTAGGGAGGACAGAAGCACAAGGAAATGGGAGCAGAGAGGAAGTGCTGCTAAAAGCTCAGAGGCCCAGGGACGACTCCTGGAAGGGGATCTTGAAAGGTAACTTGGAGATAGCTGAGGGAAGAGATGCCCAAGTCTACCAGGTAGAGGAAAAGCAAGTGTGAGCACAGGTGCCTACAGGGACTACAAGAAGTTAGGCTGGCACAAAATGTAAGCAAGGTTCAGAAGCCAACATTGTCTTCTGATCAGACTGAAGAGTCTGTTCCTTCTATGTACTAGGTGATAGGAAGTCACTGGAAGATTTGAAGTCAAGGGTGGCTGGAGCAGATCTGTGCTCACAGAGGGCATGGAGGGGGCAAGTTAGAGGCGAGGAGACTGTATGGAAACAGGCAGCAAGCAGGGAGCCAGGGCCCAAACCTAGGCCTTCTGACTCCCAAACCAGCACTCTCTTGCTTCTCCAGAAGGTTGAGTGAGGAAGACCAGCCGGGTTGGAGGGGCAGAACAGCTTCCCAGAGGACAGGTTCTGGGCAGCTGTTAGGAAAGACGGGGATGTCAGAGAATGGAAGGTCGAGTCTCATTAGCCACAAGAAATTGCCACTTTCATAGGTCAAAAATGAATGAATGTTGGCAATTTCATACAGTCCAATTACTTGGTGTTCAGAGCAATCTCAGCCTTTCAGCCTCGCACACACACCTGGAGACAGAAGACGAGCAGACCAGGGTGTCTGGGCTGTATGAGAGCTCAGGGTAGCTCCATGCTGCCCACCCACAGAGCTCTGAGAGCTGCACCAGTGACAAGAGTTGTTCTTTAAGGAGCCCCCAATTTCTGAAGCTCCAAAACTCCCTACAGAGATGCCACTCTCCTTGGTAAGGGTAAAGGGGAGTGAGAATCTACTTCTGCTGGAGGTCATGGTACTCACTGGAGAATTAGAAGACATCAGGCAGATAGTAGCGAAGAAAGAGCCTTATCAAGTTAAAAACGATAGTGTGAATGTGTGTGTATTATTTTTCAATCTTCCTCTCCTGCATCGCAAGCAAAAATTCCTTGATGTATTTTTTCCTAAAATTATAAAAGTTTTGTTAGCTAATCATCATGAATACCAGCTCCGGCTTACTCCTTTGTAGCTAGCTGCACTTAGGGTTGTGACCAGGCAGAATAATCAGCTTCTCTGTGCCTCTTTCTTCATTCGACTTCTTGTCCTCTTTACTATGTTTCTGTGAGTCAACGTATGAAATAATGCTGAAAGACCTTCACTAGTAGCCTTACTGGTACACTTAATGAGATGCAGGAACAAATAGAGAATTAAAAACACATCCACACAAAATCTGCATAAAAGGTGACGATAGCATTATACACTATAGAAAAGGTGGACACAACCCAAATGTCCATTGACTTAAGAATGAATTAACAAAATGTGGTGTATCAAGATATTATGTTGTATGGTTTACATATGTATATATAATTGTTTTGAGACAGAGTCTCACTTTGTTGTCCTTGGCAGAGTGCTGTGGCATCATTGTACCTCACGGCAACTTCAAACGCTTGGGCTCAGATGATCCTCTTGCCTCAGCCTCCCAAGCAGTTGGGACTACAGGCACCGCCACTACCCCCAGCTAGTTTTTCTATTTTTAGTAGAGATGGGGTCTTGCTCTTGCTCAGGCTGGTCTCTAACTCCCAAGCTCAAGAAACCCACTTGCCTCAGCCTCCCAGAGTGCTAGAATGATTATAGGGTTGAGCCGCCATGCCCAGCCAATAGGTATAATTTTTTAAATTTGGTATATACACGTGATGGAATATTATTTGGCCATAAAAAGGAATGAAGTGCTGATAGGTTCTATAACATGAATCAATCCTGAACACGTATGCCAAATTAAAGAAGCCAGTCTCGAGTGGAGACATATACGATTCCATTTATGTGAAATGTCCAGAATAGGCAGATGTACAGAGGCAGAGTACATCTGTACATTGGTTTGCCTGGGGCTGGGAGGAATGGGGAGACTCAGGGCCATGGCTGACCAGCACTGGGTTTCTTTCTGGAGTAAGGAAAATATTCTAAAATGATGATGGCTATTTAATTCTGTGGGTATTAACTAAACCCGTTGAATTATACACTTAACATGAATGAATTATTGTGTGTGAATTATGTCTCCATAAAGCAGTGACAAAAACAAAATAAAAAAAAAAAAAGAACAAACAAATCAGAGGCCCCGGGGGGTGTGTTCCTCCAGAAAAAGGATCTCAGTGTTTTCAAACAATTTTTTCTCCCACCTAGAGGATACTGGATCCTAGGTCCAAGACTTACCCTGTTTCTGCTAACGTCTCACACTAGGTAGCTGTGGGTAGCTCAGTTGTCCTCTCTAGACCGGGTGTAAACTGCGGTTCCACATCATCAATATGAACAACCTTCGAGAGTCTCCAGACCCACCCAACACTGGAGCTCCAAGTTCCCTGGCCACAGCCTACCCTGGCATTTAGGCAGGATGGGAAAGGGGACAGGCTCTATAGCAAAGCAGTGGACTCTGATGCCTGCCTCCTCTCTCCTGGGGTGCATCCGGCACACTTCCTTTTTATTACATTTTAATGAAGTTGTTCAATCAGATGGGAACCAGGAATCTGTAGGCTGTTACAGGCAGGGCAGGAGCAGAAGCCTTGTAGCGTAACTAAACCAACACAGTCTGCCTCCTGGGCAGATCAGGAGCCGGAGCTGCTAAGGGTATCTCTCTTAGGAAAGGAGACGACTGTAGGAAGTGGCTGGCTCTGGCCTGAGGGCTGCCTTCCTGGCAGCAATTGCTCTGGCCCTTGGCCACACTGACATTTTCAGATGAGCCTGGCCTGATCTGACCTCCAGCTTTGACTCCGACCCACATCATGCCTCTTCTTACTCACTCTCAGCCTCTGTCTTCTCTGTCCCCAGCCCAGGTTGGAAGTCAATCTTTGGTGATGGAAGGACATGATTGTCTTGGGGGTGGGGG